GAGGGAGGGAGTGCTCCTGGCAGCTAGTGAGGAGGGGAAGGGGGCGTTGCTAAATGTCCTCTAGTCCCAGAGCGAGGAGCTCTCTGACCCAAACGTCAGTAGTGGGGAAGCTGATAAACCCCGCTTTGAGGAAAATTGTTCCTGTCCCCTAATGCCACAATACTTTGGCCATGTAGGGGGAAAAAAATCAATGCTTTAAATGTTACTTTGAATAGTCCTTGAAATCTGAAAACTCGCACTTAGTGAATTGTGGCTGTAACTTATTTTTTTAAAGACTTATTTTATTTAGCTTTATTTATTTGTTTATGTTTTATTTTAATTTGACCAGAGAGGGACAGAACGAGAGAGAGAGAGAGAGAGAGAGAGGGAGAGAAAACCACCAGGTCTGGGACTTAAACCGCAGTCGGCCATGTGGGAGTCCAGAGCCCTTAACCACCACGCCACCTGCCAACCCCAGGGACAAAATTTTTAAACAGCTTTTTTTGTATAATTTGTAGATGATCAGACTCACCCACTGGAAGCGTGTATGAATATGTATACAAGCAGCATCCCCCCAGCCCCGCTCTCCTCTTGTTCTGGGTATCTTTTTAAGGTGATGTTTTGTATCATGGTGAGTTGGCAAGCAGGAAACAAATTAAAACTGTGTTTTTGAAGACTCTTCAATAGGCAGTATCCTTACAGCGAAATCCAGAGCATGCCGGGAAGTAGATAAAATGTTGCTTTAAGGGAGCAGTCTGTAGTCCCAGAATCTGGAGTCTACAATTATCGCCTGTGCCAGTAAGTGTCCACAGCCTCGCGCACACAGGGAGAATGTTTCGTTTGTCAAGCAGGATTTAAAAAGTCTGAGAAGCGTGCCCAAATTTCATTCTCCGTCCTCCTACATTTGCAGGGAAGATGGAAAGTTAAGCCCGCAGAGCTTTCACATTGCAATTTGTAGTTTTATGTAACCAAGGAAGTAGTTCACAGGATAAAACGGAACGCAGTCTGCTGAGGACTGTTTTGCTTTAGAAAGTGTGTGCTGGGGCCAGCAGGTGGTGTGGTGGTTAAGGCACTGGACTCCCACATGGCCGGCTGTGGTTTGAGTCCCAGACCTGATGGTTTGCTTTCACACGTTCCCTTTCTCTCTCTCTCGCTCTTTCTCGTTAAGTTAAAAAAAGAAGAAAATGACATAATTAATATATATTTTTAAAGAGCATGTGCTTGCAAATAGCAATTTGTGATGCGACACTGTTTGAAAGTTTTTTAACTTTGGTTTGTTATTTTTCTATCCCTTTTCTTTTTTCGTGCTTTTTAAACTCCATAGCAGATTCAAGTCTCGCTACCTGTTCACATCGTCCAGATTTCGTTCTGGGATTATGAGGGAAAGCCAGAGTCTGACTAGCCTGAGTGTAGAGGGTGAAATACAAACTTCCACGTGGGATCCCTTGAAACAGTCATCAGTCTCCTTCCCAAATGGAAGAAAGGGTGACTGCACCCTCACTGCAGAGCCAGGAAAACCTGGGTTTTCAAGGCTCGGGTTCTGATTTCCTCTCTCCTCGGAGCTGCCTTCCTGCCGTGGCCATCTGGTTCAGGCAGGGAGACAGAAGTACAGGAGCACCGACTCCTGCCTGTGCTCCCTCCACGCTGGGCACCCTTGGGTCAGGGAGTCCGACTGCCACTCATTGACTGACCGTGAGGATTAACGTTGGGTCAGGAAGGTCGTGATGCATTTTCGCATAGAAAAACAGAAAAAAACACGTCATGACTTTCCCAGTGACCTGATAGTTTAGTGTCTGCGAAAGTTCTTGGAACGCTGGCATTCCACAAACGTCTTTTTTTTTTTTTTTTATTGTAAAAGGTGTCCCACTGGTATTAGCAGTTTGTGTTTAGACTGATATTCAGTTTCACGTCATTTGATTCTTCTACTTATTTTAAGAAGGTAAGGAAGGGGGCCAGCAGGTGGCGTGGTGATTAAGGCACTGGACACATCCATGTGGCTAACCATGGTTCGAGTCCTCTCTGGTCAAATTCAAATAAATGAAAGAATAAATAAAATTAAATAATTCTTTAAAAAAAGAAAAAGAAAAAGAAGGTAAGGAAGGTCGTTTTAGTAGCAGGGAATGGAGACCCGAAGAGGTTGAGAGATTCCCTCCCACTAGAATGGTTACTCGGGAAGGTGCTGCCTCCCACTCTCTTTCAGCCGCCCCATTCTGCCTGCTCTTCCAGACTGTTCTCAGCGGGTGGTGGGGGTTGTCGTGCTTTCACATGGTTTCCGGAGAGGACTGCGTTTGTTCCAGGCAGTCTGCTGCTCTCATTTGACATTTATGGTGCTCCTCTTGAGAGGGATGTTCAAAGGCTTTCCTCGTCCCTTGAAACTGTGCAGGCCATCAGGGAAACAGCACAAGCAGTCTTTATGGCTGTCCCAGGAAATGCACATGCATGCCCTTGATTGTTTTAAAGCTGACAGTCAGAGCTGGGCACGTTGCTGGCCCAGTGGAACTCCCGGCTGAAGGAAGATGAAAGAGAAGCCTAGTCAGGCTGTGGAAGGGGCGAAGCCTGCCAGAAAGGTTAGGCACTAACTGTCCTCAAAGTTGGAAGTGCCTCGACAGCTCTCTGTGAGACTCCTCCAGCAGAACTAAAAAGGGAGACATTCAAAAACAAAACCAAAAAACCCTTACAGTTATTTATTTAATTACACTTATTATTTTTTAATTTGGCAAGAGAGAAGAAAGGTGAGAAAGCAAGCCACCAGGTTCCAGGTCTCGAACTGCCATTGGCCGGGGGGGAGTCCAGTGCCTTAACCACCACGCTGTCTGCTGGCCCCCCAGAAAACTTTGAATTGTGTTATGCACACAGGGCACCGCCCACATCATGTTTACGTAGAGCTCCCTGGCTTCTTGCGTTTGTGCACCTCTGTGTAACCGCCTCCGAGGTGAGTCCGAGGGGACGCCCCTGTGCGCGCTATCCACCCCTGCGCCCCTCAGCCTGACGCTTATTACCAGGGCTCCGTTTGATCTGTTCTTCAGCTTCACATCGATGAGACTCCAACGACGTGCCCTCTTTGTGTCTGGCTTCTTTCACTCCGCATTATGTCTGTGAGATATGTCCATGCTCTTACATGGGGCGGTCATTTGTAAAGAGGCATGCTTTGAAATTTAAAAACGAGTTAAAAATGGCCAGCCGTCTTCGGCATGGAAGCATGGACTGCAGACGACTTCATAGAATACATTTCATTACGCTTTTGAAAGAAAGGGTGGGGATTTGATGTTCAGGTATGCGGAGAAGACGCCACCAGGGTAGGAATAGGGACAAGAAATGGACAAGATGTTGTAAGCAGGTAGATCTCGTAGGGGACGGAATGGAGAAGAGAGGGCAGAATGGTGGGGACGTGGGGCCAGTGACGTCACAGCTGGTGGAATGTCCGGCCTGCACATCCCCCTCCCGGAGTCTGTTGTGGTGAGTCCTTACCGGGAAGTATCCATCCAGAGGTCTGCAGCCACCCCTGGCTCTGGAAGAGGACTCACGTGCTTTATGTTGTATTCAGACCCACACATGTTGGTGGCAGTGGCAGGCTTTCTGAAAGTCTGGCCAGAATCCAGCACCTAAAACGCCGGCAGGCTTCGCCACCTCTCTGATGCTGGCTTGTTTGATGGGGAGGTAGGAAAGAGGGCATCCTTCCCCGAGTTCTCCCAGACTTCCTGCTGGTGTCGGTGGAAGCCACCCTCTTCTCAGGAATGGCGGTGAGAAACAGGCGACGATGTAGTGTCACACGATTTTTTCGTTTATTTCACCTCTGGGGACCAGCAGATGGCGTAATGCTTACATTGGTGGGCTCCCATGTAGTCGACTGCGCTTTGAGTCCCGGACCTGGTGGCTTAAAACACAAGCCAGGAATATGTGTGTGCATGCCCCAAATCCCAAGAGGAGAATGGAGGAGAAGGGATTGTGGTGTGGCCATCCCCTCTGGGGGGTGATTTCTCGCTTTCTGTCTGTCTGTCTTTCTGGTGAGTGCACATGCCCTACCGCCAAAACCTCTCCCCCACCCCCCAAAAAAGAGGAAATAAATTATTTGCTTTGGAAAAAAGTATGAGTAATGTCTCTACTGGTCCAGTTGGAATGATAGGCTCCTTCTTCTCTGGAGGCGGCTTAGGGTAATCTCTTCAGTGACCCCAGGGCAAGGAAGGTCGGGCATGCTTCCATCAAACCCCACACTGTCCTCGGCACCCTCCATGAAGGGGCTCTCGTCTCGTGCAGCCTTCTGTGAGGTGTGTGTGATATGCCGGAGATTCCAGGACAGGGACAACACCTGAGTAACAGCAGTGACCGATGGTGGCAGCTCTAATTTGCATCAGCTCTAACAAGCTGGTGTTGAAACTGGATGGCAGAATGCCAAGGAAGCCAAGGTCAGCGTGCTGCCAAATAACGAAGTGAATCACGCAGTCCAGGGTTTGCACATACCCACGGCCTGCCTACCTCACCCCGCCTCCAAGGGAATGCATGCCGCAGGACCAGTTCGGTGCCTGTGCCCGGCTCTGCTGTGTGTGCGAAAGAAAGCAAAAGCCACGAGACAGCCTTGTTTCTTGAGGAGACAGGTGTGGAGGGAAAGAAAAGTTAAAGAAGATAATCAGGCATGAAGTCAGTGCAGGGAGACACCGTCCTGGGATGGGGCAGGTGGGAGTGTGCAGGGAGAGAGGCCCAGCCCGGGTGGAGTTAGCAGAGTAAACCTGAGCAGACCAGGAAAAGCGAAGGGGTCGAGAACTCAGGCGGTTTAGAACATGGACCTGACACCAGACTGCCCGGGTTTGAATCTAGATGGGCCCTGTGGCCAGGGGGAGGTTGCTTAGCCTCAAGTTTGGGAGCCTCCTTTCACAGCTTCTCCTATTCATTCAGTAATCTGTCAGTTTCTCCCATTCATTCAATAATCTGCAGTTGGACGTGCCAGGCATCGTTTAAAATGCTGGGGACGCAGTGACAGATGGGTCCTTGCTCTGGCCAATCATGCTTTCTGGTAGCAGAAGCAGACAGTAAACGAGCAAATGCAGAAAGTGGTAAGTGCGCACAGAGAATGGAAACAGAGTTATGTAAGAGTGGCTGGAGGGCTGGCAGGTGACGTGGTGGTTAAGGCACTGGACTCCCACAGGGCTGACCGCAGTTCAAGTCCCAGACCTGGTGGCTTGCTTTCTCACTTTCCCTTTTTCTCTTTCTGGTCAAACTGAAAAATGATAGTGATGACTAAAATTAAATAATTCCTTTTTTTTTTCTTAAAAGAGTGGTTGGGCCGACAAGTTGCATGGTCGGTAAGGGCGCTGTACTCCCCGTGACTGACCATGGTTTGAGTCCTGGACCTGGTGGCTTGCTTACTCACTTTCTCTCTCTCTCTTTCTCGTTCTGTACCTCCCTGGTCAAGTTAAATAAATAAAGTTAAATAAAATAATTAAAAAAAAAAAAGATTGGCTGGGAGACTCCTTCAGATATGTGCCCAGGGAGGTCTCTCTGTAGAGGGCCAGGGGCCGGGGCCAGGATGATAAGTAACAGGCGTAGAATACAGAGACTCTGGGGCCAGAAATGGCGTGGCATGTTTGCCATGAGACCTCTGTGGGAGGAGGGATGTGGGCAGGAGGGCGAGTGTAAGTGACGAGGTGGAAGGGAGAAGGGTGGACCAGATTGCCAGAGTGTAGCTTTCACGTAGTGGGAGATGTTCCGATCTTCCATTTTGGTCACTTTTGACAAATGCACGTCAAGACCCAGAACATTTTTATCTCCGCAGAGAGTTCCCTCCTGCTCTTTGCCATTCAGATCTCTCCCAGAAGCAACCAGAAGTTTTGTGTCACCATAGGTCAGTTGTGTTGTTCTACAACTTCACATAAATGGTACCACAGAGTACATACTCTGCTTGGCATTATATTTTCGAGATCGTTCCATGTTGTCACACGCATCAATAGTTAATTTCTTTTTATTTATATTTTTTGAGAGATTTTTGCTATAGGGCGCGTGCGCTCACCAGACAGAGAGAGACAGAGAGACAGAAAGCAGGAAATCACCCCCCAGGGGGGATGGCCATGCCGCAATCCCTTCTCCTCCATTCTCCTCCCGGGATCTTGGGCATGCACGCACACATGCCTGGCGTGAGTTTAAGCCACCGGGTCAGGGACTTGAAGCGTGGTTGACTATGTGGGAGTCAGCAACATAGCCATTACACTAACTGCTGGTCCCAGTAGTTAATTTCTTTTTATTGCTGAGGAGTATTTCACTACATGGGCATACCACAATGTGTTTAAATGTTCTCCTGTTACGGACATCTGGCTGTTTCCAATGGATTGAAATTACATTTCCATTTAAAGCGGCCCCTCTGGCTTTGAGGAGAAGAATTAAGTATTTGGGAGAAAGCATAGAAAAAGAGGGACAGTGGAAAATTATTGTAGTCTAGGGACCAGCAGATGGCATAATGTTTACATTGCTAGACTCCCATGTAGTCAACCATGGTTTGTGTCCAGGTCCCGGCAGCTTGAAATTCACACTGGGTGCATATGTGTTCCCAAAATCCTGAGAGGAGAATGGAGGAAAAGGGATTGGGGCACAACCATGCCCACTGGGGGGGGGGGGATTTCTTCCTTTCTGTCTCTGTCTCTCTAGCAAGTGCATGTGCCCTATAGCAAAAATCTCTCCCTTATAAAAAACGTTATCGTAGTCTGGGTTTAAGGCTGTAAGTGGGTGGTCTGAGGCTAGGGTAGTGATGGGGTGGAAGGTGACAGTGTGTGGCTATCTTACAAGGGTAGAGGCAGTAGGATTCTACCTGTTGGGGGATGGGAGAAGAAAAGACAGAAATGAAGGGAAACGTGTAAGTTATTGGCCTGAGCGACAGAAAAGATGGGAGTCCCATTTACTAACTTGGGGGAGACCAGGGAAGAAGCAGGTTTGGGGTGGGTGAGAAGCAAGGTTCTTTTTCAGAGCATTTGTTGAACGAGGTATGTTAATAGTCAAGTGTTGTTTGATGATAAAGTGAGATCACCCATTCAGCAATTTGGGATTTGGAAATTTAGCATTTGGAACATTCTAAATGTAAATGTCACCTACTGTGACAGGTAAGAGCAGTGCTGAAAAATAGCGGTTTATCTTCAGACAAACCAACAAGAAAAATAAGGAGCGGTAGTGGGGCAAAGAATCTGCTGGGTTAGGAAGGAATCCGTCGACCGAAGGTCTTGAATTTCTGGTAGAATATTTAGAACTGAGTCTGGTAATAGTGCCTTTTTCCTTTGAGGAGGAGGAGGTCTGAGATATTTAGAGGGCCAGAGAGGAGTTCTAGGTTTTGGTCTTGGCTCCAAGCTCTTGGCCAGCATGCAAACCATACCCTCTTCTTTTTTTGGTGGTGGTGGGGTTTGCTATAGGGCACGTGTGCTCACCAGGAAAACAGAGAGAGAGAGAGAGAGAGAGAGAGAAAGAAATCACCCCCGGAGGGAATGGTCACTCTGCAATCCATTCTCCTCCATTCTCCTCTCGGGATCTTGGGCATGCACGCACACGCGCCCAGCATGAGTTTAAGCCACCAGGTCCAGAACTTGAACCTTGGTTGGCTACATGGCAGTCCCGTGACATAGCGATTACACCAACTGCTGGTCCCCACATGCCCTTCTCTAAGTACAAAATTACTTGTTCTACGGTTGCTGGGAAGGGGAAATAGATGAATTCTACTGCAATTGCTTTGAGAAGTATCGAATGTTTGGAATTATTATTATTATTTGGAAAGTTTTTTGCTATAGGGCGCATGTGCTTGCCAGAAAGAAAAGACAGAGAGACAGAAAGTGAGAAATCACCCCGCGGGGGAGGGGGATGGCCATGCTACAATCCCTTCTCCTCCATTCTCCTCTCGGGATCTTGGTCACACATGCACACACATACGGTGTGAGTTTAAACCACCGGGTCCAGGACATGAACCACAGTCGACTACATGGGAGTCCAGCAACATAGCCGTTATGCCAACTGCTGGTCCCGGCATTATTATTTTTTTTAAGTTTCTTTCTTTCTTCCATGATTGAGGGAGCTCGAAAGGGAGTGGGAGACAGAGAGAGAGAGAGACCTCAACAGGAGGATCCTGCTGCTACAGTCTCCTCCTGGCCTCAGGCTGCCCTGGGTCGTGGTTGTGCATGCTTTCATACTCGGGGGGCGTGTGGTGGATGTTTGCAAACCTGGAATCTCCCCATATGGGTCAGCCTTGCAGAACATCACCTCTACCACTGGGCCACTGTTAGGCCCATTGAGCTTGTTGTCGAGTGGCATTTTAGAGTAGAGTGATGGGAGTGGGTGTTAGGTGGAAGGTCGGGAATGTATTGAAGGGGAGGAAGAGTCTTCTAACTGGCTCCTAAGCGCCTAAACAAGAGCCTTGACAGAATAGAGAAGGTATACATCGGAGATTTTTGTTTACTTGTTAGAGGATGTGTGTGCTTGCAGGAAGAGAGAAAGGTAGATGAAAAGCACCCATGGGGGATGATCACGCCATCATCCCTTCTCCATTTCTACCTCCGTTTGGGATTTTGGGCATGCACGCACATGGGCCTGGCATGTTTCTCAAGCCACTAGGTCCTGGACTGGAATCTTGTGGTTGGTCAGATGGGATCCAGCTGCTTTAACCACCAAGCCACATGGCTGTCCCATAAATCTAAGTAATTCCTGAAGAGTTAGATGACCTTGGGGAAAGGCTTTCAGTGCAGATGTGTTGGTCTTCAGGAGCTGGGAACAGGGCAGAGCCGATGAAGGGGTTAGGTGGTTGAGAAAGGGTGTTGGAGTTGAGGGCATGCCTTGGTATAAACTTACTCCAGAGGGGTGCTATGTAGGCAGTTGGGAATGTGGGCTAGCCATTCGGCTTTGCAGGTCGAGCTGGTTAGATGATTTGAGAGTCAGCAGCCCCGAGAATGACTGATACCGTGAGCATGTGAGCTGTCCTAGGGAACAACATACAAGACACTGTTTATTTTGCTCAGCCCAATTGACCTGGTGCCAGAACAACAGGCTGAAGAGTGAAAAATCCTGTCAGTCAGCTGGTGGCCCGAGCGGCTCAGTGCCAGCTGAACAGCTGGACAAACCTTCCCCTGTGTTGAAGACTTGGCTGACCGCTCCAGCGTCTTCACAGATAAAGTCAGATGATGTGCGTGCTTGCGTGTGCGTGTGTGCGCCTGTGTGTATTAAATTAAAATTCGTGACCTTGGATTTAGCGTTCCAGGGCACTAGTTGCTAGGCCTTGGTGTCCCTCTGGACTCCCTGAGGCCTTTCCAGGGATGCTCCATGCCTGGGTTTGGTCTTGGAGAGGCGCCGGAGATCTGGCCAACGCCCAGCACAGCCCAACACAGTCACTGGAGCTGGCCGGCCCTCCTGGAGGTACTGCCTGAGGCTCCAGACCTTCGAGTCCACCAGACCCAGTTATTAGGAGGGGAGGACAGTGCCCTAGTCCTTTGGGGCTTCTTCCAGACAGGGATGTCAGGAAGGTTTTCTGCTGACTTGATGTTGGGAGTGCCCATGGCATGCACAGAAAGATTTAAATGGGGCATTTGTACCTGGGTGGCTCTGCCCTGAGTCATTTCCTCCTGAAGTGATTTCTGCTTCCTTCACTGCCCTCACCATGCCCTTCAGGGTTTGCTTTTGTGGGTTCCCAGATCCAAATGGCACCCTAAATACCCTAAATTTATTCTGTGAATGAGAGAGACAGAGAGAGAGAGAAAAAGAGACAGGCAGACAGACGCCCCCCCCCGCACCCCCAACACACACACATACCCCTCAACAGGGTCTTGACTGCAGTTAACCCACAGCCTCAGCCCACCCCAGATCATGGGTACACGCATGGCTGGCATAGCTGGAGGTCTTTGGATGAGAATCTGGAAACTTCCCTTGGGAGTTGGCCTCAAGAGTGTCCCATTTTAGTGCTGTGCCACCTTCGGCCCTCCAAAATGGCACTGTTACGGTTCTCAGAGCTGGTCCTGAGAGTGGATTACCTCCTAGGTTATATTTTCTCCCTTCTGATTCTGTTTACGATCTCAGTTCCAGGCAGCGTTGCCCCCTG